TTTTTTTATGCCTTTCTATGTTTTTGTTTGTTCATGTATGTTTTGTGTTTGTTGTAAAAATTAAAAAACAACAACAACAAAAAAAATACTGCAGTTCCAGGAACTAGAGAAGTTCCTCTCTAGCCTTACTGAAACCCTTGACACTGCTTTCCTTTTCACTGAAAATTTATCCAGAAAGATTTCAGAGTGATGATTATTCTTTATTTAGTAATATCTGTATTATCAGAATATGTTAAAAAACTTTGGCACCAATCCTTGTCCTGTAAATTACTCAGATACTACAATTTACTTTTGTCCATAGTTGTGAAGAAAGTCAAAACCCCATAATAAATGTTACTTACCTAATGTGAACTGTACACATTAATAAAATCAACTATTTATATGCAACAAAAATATCCCAACAAGCCTAATTTCTACAATTTGACAGGCGAGGTTCTGATTTTGAGAGGAAAAACTATGATGAGCAGAGTACCTAAACACATACCATTTTGCTCTCTTTGAACTCCAGCAGCCAGTAGATCAGGCTCACCAAGACTTATATCATTAAGTCTAGTTCCAAGACATTCTATGCAAAGATGTTTGCACCACTCTTCTGCCTCAAGCTCTGAAAGAAAAAAAAATACTGCATCAGGAATGTTATTGATAGGGAATTGAGGAATTGTGGAATGAAATCAAATAAGTTGTTAATGATGAATGTGAAAAGAGATTGGCAAAGATCAAGAAAAGGAAAGAAAACTGGATGTCAGAGGAGATGGTGGAAATTGCCAAGATAGGAAGAGAAACTAAAGCCAAGAAAACAAAGATCTCAGAAAAGAACTTAACAAAGAATTTGAACTATTAGAAGAAATAAGTTTCAGTAATACAATTACACCCTCATCTGTAAAGACATCAAGATGGAAACAGACATGGTCAAACAAGGAGTTTTTTTTAAAAGTTCTCTAAATTCAGGAAGTTCCAATCTCAAATTAGTATGTTAAAGGAGATGCAATAAATTTGGAGACACATTAATCCATATGATTTGGTCAGTCCTTCACGTTCTTTCATATTTGTAGAACAGACTTAATATTGTGAATACAGTTTTAGTAAAGGAGTTAAGATTTATGGATAAAATGTTTAGATAATTGGAATTTATCCAGGAAGAACTTTGGATCAACTGTGCCTGGAAAGTTGCAAAGAAGATTATTATCTGATCTTGAAAAAAAGCTCATCTACCTGTTATCAAAGGCTGGCTTGGCAAAATGCAAATATCTAATACGTTTCAATGTGGATAAAATATAATTGGTTATTTTAAAAATTGAGCTGTGTTACCCTTTTTAACATATATGACTGTTTATTTTATTAAGTTACATATTTTTCTTTCTTTTATTCATATGTGTTGGTCTTATTTTGTTGTTGTTGGATTAAACAATAAAGAGAAGAGAATAACAAATGAGTGTTTGTTGGGGACCAAACTCCAAATTTTAATGACAGGTACTACCATAAAAACTAAATTTGATTTAATTTTATTACATTTAAAAATCAATTAACATTAAATATAGTTAATATAACTCTATGGTCATGCAGTAATAATTTTTAATGTACAACTCATTGCTGCAAATCAGATATAGATTTCTGTCTTCTAGTTTTGAATAATTCTTTTAACCAAAGACTGACAATTCTTGGTGTCTTGATATATTCCAAATACTAGGGCTACAGTAAAAATATAAAATTTCAAAAAACAAACAAACAAACAAAACCTAAGTAAAAAGCCCCCTCAAAAACTTACAAAAACCTCCACATATTAAATGTTTTCTCAGAATCCAAAGCAATTATAATTGCTGAACTCTGTCTATTTTGAGAAATCCACAAAAATATTATAGCAGTTAGGATCTTTCCCATCATTCCTCCAAACGGTTCAGAACACCTGGAACAAAGTTGCTCGGGAGGAACCTGAAGGTGCAATAAGAGTATAGACATACACTTGCTTCATCATGCTTTTTTGAAGTGGGCCCAAACCCGTCTGCTCACCTACATTTGGTTATTTTCAATATGATTTTTCCACCACCATTAATCTAGGTATCTTTTCATTTGCTTCATTTGTAGAAGCTCCTTTTAAAACCTGGTTTTCCCTGGTTTGGCAATTGGAAAGGGCCTTGCGGGGCAGTCTCACCAATGAACTGTCTGCTTATATGAGATAAAACAGGTACAAACCAGAGCTTCCCACCATATCATTGGGATATTGTCAAGCCAGGAAGCCATCAGGATTCACCAGTTCCTCTGATGGACCATTATAACAAGTCCTTTGCCATTTCAGAAATCCCAGGTGCTGACAATCTGTAGCTAGATAAAAAACTGCTCTGAAATAGCAAAGGATAAACACCCATGTCATCCATATTTCTTCATCTGCTCCAAAGTAAAGACCAGATCCAGCATGTGCTTACTGACATTTGTTGGGATTAAGTTTACCTGGGACAAACAAACCAAAGACACATCAAGAACTGCTTTGTGAAGGCTGGAGCATACAATGGTTGATGTAAAAGTTGCTGGAAAAATAAAATCTGACCTCAAAAATGAGGGAGGGCTTCTTAGAAAAATGACAGAATTTGAAATGCTCATACAGAATTAAGAGCACCTACTAGGATGCTTATATAAACTGCTACTCAGATATGACATAGAACAAATAAAAAACTCATGATAAAATGGATGCAGAACTTTAAAGAAACAGTCACAACACAACAATCGGGAGAATTATGGAACAAATTTATAAGATGTACCTGGGACAAGTCCATGGTAATACGGAGGACATGAATCTCTAGGCCACTTTATCTCCCTTCCCTCACCAGAAGCATCAACACTGAAATCCCCTGCTCCAAAACCTGAGAGACTCCAATACTAGCTTTGCAATGAAGCTCCAGGAGAGACACTGCAGGACAATGGGATGATTGGAACAAGTAGTCCCCAGTTTAAGAATGAGTTCCATTCCCAAGGTCTGTCCTTCAGTCAAATTTATATTTGTTGCCTTCAGCAACTCTTTGGCATTCAAATCCCAGCCTCTGTCCTCCTCACTGCTCTCAATGACAATGTGCTGCAGCATCTATTCTCCAACTCATTCTCCAATATCTTCTTCAAAGCCAACAATTCTTTCATGGTCACCTAATCAAAATGGTGGCTGCCATTATCCTTTGTTCTGATTAAATCCTAATATAAGTATGTGTTTTTAGACACTTATGATTTATATCTCTTGGTCTAGTTCTAACTTCAGTAGCAAGGCCTAATTTTTTGGCCATAATTTATTTTTCTCACCTGAATATATTTGATTTCTTTTCTTTTTTGAAAGCTATCTCTTGTGTAAAGACAAAATGCCTATGTTCAATCTACATGGTATCTATTGTGTCGTGTCGTGTCGTGTCGTATCGTATCGAAGCACTGTTCCACTACAAACAAACTCTGGGAGGCTCTCAATATAAATGAAGCATAGAACCTTTAGAGTACATTAGCCTTCTTCTTAACTTTAAACCTGATATTTACACTTAATGCAATAAATAAATACATTAATAAACATTTCTACTCCCCACTGATAATTTAGTGTCCTAAAGTAGCTTTCCCCCAGCTTGATAATTGAGGATGTATTCAATTAAATCTCCAGTAATTTCAGTAGCATAATGGCCATACTTGGTCCATTATGGGATCTGAAATTCAACACTCCTAAAGAGTGCCAGTTTAGAGGACAGATACCACTATTAAGTTGCTATATATCATCATGGGGTATGTGTGTAAAACTGGATCATGAAAACCCCTTGAATCTAACATAGGCATTCCAAAATGAACATCCCACTGCCATAAAAAATCATTATAACAAATCTTCATCTTTTAAATGTAAATCCTACAGCTCAGTAAAAGGGAACTGAGAAAATTTAAGAAATGCTTCTAATTAATGTAAGTTAATCAAATCTGCTGATGTTAAATTTAAGCAAAATTCTGCTTTCTCCCATGTCCTCCAACAACAAAACCACACATTTCTTGGGCATAAACCAAGAGTTCCTTTTGTCGATAAAGACAGACTTTTGAGCAGGAATTTGGTCTTTGGAGAAGATGACCTGATAGCTATTGATAACTGACCTGATTAAAGTATGTCTGATGGGAATAAAATATATATCCTCATACAAAAAAGGGAACACCTATAAATGCCCCCTTATCTGATTGAATGCTATGTGTTATGAAAACTACAACAGCAGGAATAAAACAGCAATGAGAACAATATAAAAACAACCAATATATAGATGTCATATTTACAATTGGTTCTAAACAAATTTATATCAACAGCTTTGCAGGCACAGAAATATTAGAAAACAGGATCTAAATGTGAAGAGTATGAGAAATATTTCAAAGAACAGTGATACATTCATGATATATTGAACTTGGCAATTTACCAAGAAATGAAATATGCATTTGAACAACCTTTCAAATTACAGCATGCACATTTCATACACTTGAATGAAATCATAATCTAAATTTAGAAAACCCTTTATTGCAAAATATATTCCAGGGATAAATTGTATTAGTGGAAAAGGCATGCATCTGAATTTGAAATCCACACATACCATGTTCCAGAAAAGACAACCCATATTCATATGATCAGACATGAGATAGTGAAAACATGGAAGGGAACAGGGCAACATGTCCCACCTCCCGCCTGTGTCCTTTAATAAAAGAGAACATCTATGCAGCATACAAGCTCTGTGGATAAGATCCAATCAATATTGGAAGATCAAATTCAGAAGGTTTATTCTAGCATCATAAGCAAGGTTACAGTAGTATCAGCATGGAAGAAACCGTCCAAGTTTCATTAAACTCTAATTCTCATCCCCATTATTAGCATGATTGATGTTCTTGGATGACTGAAGCTCTTCTCCAACAATATCTGAATGACACTCAGTTCCCACCTTGTCTTAGACCAGTGTTTCTCAACCTTGGCAACTTTAAGATGGGTGGGAATTCTGAGAGTTGAAGTCCACCCATCTTAAAGTTGCCGAGGTTGAGAAACACTGTCTTTGACAATAGAACACTCTATTAAAATACATGGTATATTAATACAGGGAAGAAAGTCTTCAAAATGAAATGAAAACATTATGAAAGGAAAAACTGGGAATGATTTGAATTCAGGATTCACCCCCTCCCCCCCAAAAAGGAATCAGCTTCAATGCCAATAGAGTACATTTGAACATATGTATAAAATGTTTGTCTCTTACCCATATATAGGCTTCTGGGTGCAATTTGAAGTGCTTGATCTATAAAGACCTTTATGGCTTGCCACCAATTTATCTTTAGGACCTCCTCTAGAATAGGCCCAATCACTTCACTTTTGCCAGGAAAAGCCACTTATACTGTACAGTAGTTCCATACTTTTGAGAGATGAAGGGGGCCAAGGCCCTGCTTTTAGGTAGCAGCACTGGCCCTCTGAAATAGTTTCCTAAGGAAAATAGGTTGGCTCCTTCTTTAATTCCCTTCCATAAGGAGTTGAAAACAATTTTATGGAGAGCGTTTGGGGGAGACATGACGAAGTTTTATTTTATGTTGCATTATTTTAAGTTAATGCACTATTTGATTCATAGGGGAAAGATAAGT